ATCTTCACCTCATTAGCTTATGCACCCATTTTGTCTCTAGTGATTGTATCAGGAAGGTGAGCATCACAGAATGCCAACTGATTAGAATAAAGTGTTTTTGCATTGAGGAAGGACTTGAGTAGAAGCCCAATGTCCATCTGCTACCTTAATACTTAACCTATAAATATATGTACATAGAGCTATCTCCCTATTATTATATATTAATATATTTACATATGTACATGCCTATGTTTATACCTTTATAAATGTCTTTTGCCTCCTACTTCTTTCCTCTATTTCCTTTTACTTTCCTCCTTTCCCACTATCATGTTTGACCTCCATTCGGCTCTCTGTACTTCCTCTCGGCTACAGTGCACTTGATGGAACCCCACCAGGAATTCTATGCCCTCCTCGCCACTGATTTTAGATCTCTGGATGTTCCCTTTTCCCTGTGCTTGTTGGTGTCCCCCTCCTTTCCCCCAACCTCCTCCTCTCCCCTGTCCCCCAGGAACTGTCGGTCCTATTGTTTCCTCCTCAGGGATCATTTATCCTACCTATCTTATATGGATAGACATGAGGGGAAATGCCTATGAGTAGTTCTAGGACTGTCTGCTTACCCTTATGAATGTTTTCTGATCAGGCCTGATGATGTTCTTTGGGATTGATTCTTTGTGATGTGTGGGAGGTTTTCTATTCTTGTAAAAGGTTACAGTCTCAGAAAGATACCAGGGATGTTCTACCTTGGTCTCTAGCAGCGGTTCTCAACTTGTGTGTCCTGGCCACTTTGGAGGCCAAATGACCCTTTCACAGAGGTCATCCGATTCAGAACAGCAGCAAAATTACAGTGATGAAGTAGCAAATAAAATAATGTTATGATTGGGGGGTCACCACCACATGAGGACCTGTATTAAAAGGTCGCGGCACTAGGAAGGTTGAGAACCACTGGTCTGTAGGGTCACTATGAGTTGGACTAGCCTTGATGGCAATGAGTTTTTGTTTTTCATTTTTTTCTGAAAGGATATAGCTT